AAAAAGTCAAATTTTCTTGTGTTGTCTTCATTTTTACCGGCAATATTTGACTTTTTTGAGCTTTTGTTATTGTATGCGGCTCGTGGATCCACAACACTTTGACAATGTTATGATGTCATTTTATCATCGATAAGAGGACAGACGATAAAAAACTGGCGTCAATTTGTTAACTACAGTACATAGAAACAATTCGGTCACGTGACGTTGTATTTCGAACGGAGTAGCCCAGTTCCAACTGTTTGAGCCAGAACGCCGGGTAACTACTTATAGCTTCAATTCGAGGCTTAAGGGAAAGGGTGCCTATATTTGAAAGCACATGAACTAGAGCTGGAGCATCTGACTTATGTTAAAAATGATGTATTAAGTCATGTTTGTGCGTAAAACTAATTTAAAGAGGTCAGACCTCCCTCAACGTTTTCGATTTTTCGAGTAAGAAGAATCTTATAACGAAAAAAGATCGTCTTTTGTCCTGGCTCTGATAAAGAGTTTTTCTATGTATCTGCACATATGCTCCGAGCATTTTAAGATCGAACAAATTATGAAGACCTTGTCTGGAACTAAAAAGATAGCAAAAGGGACGGTCCCGACGATTTGCTAACCCCGAAATGAGTCCCTCGAAGCCCAACTGTCAAAGTGAAAAACGGATGAGTTACCAAAAAAAAAGGAAAATATAAGATTTCAAGTTGGCATAACATTGTAATCGTCAAAAAAAAAAAAATACTACTTCAGCATTGAAAAATCATTGGTAAACTTACAAATGGTAATTGGTAGATTAGAAAATTATTCCAACAATGGAGATGAATTGGTTGATTTTTGATAAAATGATCATTACATAATACTAAGAAATATCAGCATTAGGCTTTAATCAGCCATACGTTATTCTGCTGCTTCTCGACCTGTTGAAAGCTTTCAGCCCGGTTGATCAACTACAAGATTCCTTTGCGCAGACTATCTAGTTATACCTAGATCGTAAGCAAGTAGTCAAATAGCTAGGTACCCACATTATATAGCAAGGACTGGGAGTTTGAGCTCCGTACATCGATCGCCGTTGAACCCGAGATTAAATTGAATGCATTAATGCAAAATTGATTTGAAATACGCTTAAATACCTAATTTTCTTTCCACCAGCTTCAAATAGTGACAGTGAAATGCTATAAATATAATTAATAATTTTAGCTCACAAATTAACTACAGTAAAAACCCGCGTATAAGAACCTAGGTTTTTCCAAGTTAGCCTAAACAGGTTCTTCTATAAATGGTATTTAGTGTAAAATTAGGCTAACTAGGTCCTCAATTAGGTTCTTAACTTTTGTTCAAGAAATAAAGCTGAATTTTTAAATGATCCGGTGTTTAATGTCCAAAAACAGTATTCTTGGAGGCTTCGTTAAGCAAAATACTATACTATTTTAATCTGATTCTGTTACAATCAAACCTATGGTAAAGTTTTATGTAATTTTTTTATATATATATATATATATATATATATATATTTTTTTTTTTTTTTGGAAAATAAGAACCTGTTTTAGGATTTTAGCCTAAAATGGTTCTTATTTGAAGGGTGCTTAAAAATGAAATTTTAGCCTAACAAGTTCTTAAATGTTAGGTTCTTATACGCGGGTTTTTACTGTAGTGCACGTACGTGGCAGCGGTGGCACGTTGGCGCAGTGTGGTTAGGAGCTGACGTCATCATAGTGTTGGTTCAAATCCCGATGAAGCTACAGTCGAAGCTCCCGTAAGCGACCAGCTCTAGTTATGAACACCTTTCTTTACGAATTATTAAAAAGTTTCTTAAACTCTCCTAATCGACCACCCTCTATTTTTTTACCATGCGTTCGCTTACGAAAGCTCATTCTCGTAAGCGACCAGCTCTAGTTACGGTCACTGTTTCGAATTTCCGAGGTGGTCGCGAACGAGAGCTTCCACTGTATTTTCTTTTTCTTTGTACGTTTTTTATCTGTTTAGTTTCTGTTTTTTTGTTTGTTTGTTGAACTTTTTTTTCCCTTTGGGTTGTTTCCCTTTATTCTCACTGCCGACTCTTTCTAAGCTTGCGAAGTTTATGCGATAACGTATTTGTTGTGGTTGTTGTTACATATCAATGTAGAGAAGATCATCGCAATCAAAGACTGCCAGACTTGCCAGGATTTCAACCCTGACCTTTGCGATACCGGTTCAGGGCTCTACCGATTCAGATGGCAAGACAGCTGGAGATGGTAATTAAATTGGTTTATAATACACCAGGAAAAATGAATTATATCAATTTCGTATATTGAAACTGCAGGATGAAGAAGTAAATGTAAGAGGGTCATCGCAACAACTGGGAGCTGGTCATTAAAGTGGTTCATGAATTTCATATATTGAAACTTCTGCGGTTGCAAAAAGGAGTACCAAGAAATAGGCTGCAAGTCAAGAGATCTTCTTGTGCAAGTAGAATAGGTAATGACGTCATTTCGTTACTATGACAACTCTGAAGTCATTGTAACACTGATCATAGGAAATATTCATTTTTATCTAATACAGCTTTGGTGATCATCTTTCCAAATCTTTGTAAAGGCGACCTAGTGTATACTCAAACTTAGGAGGTATTGCCCCTGAAAAACCCTATCTAGCCACCTGAACACCGGTCAAATGAGTACCTATAACGCCACGCGGGTATGAGTTCCACACACATTTCACATCCTACCAGACACGAAACCACCAGTTCCAAACCCCTAGTGGCTTTAGAGCACTTAACGAATAAGTTTAAGTTCACAGAAAATAGTTTTGCCTGCCGAGTTTCTTGTCTCCCTGCTTCACCTTAACCTGTTGAAGGACTGGTTCTGCTTCACTTTTATTCTCGTAATACTAAGTGCCTTGTCAAAATCTTGTCTTCTTGCGTGTGAGATTTGTCTCTTCTATGCTCGCTTGTTCGCTTCTCAACTGACCCTTTTGATTAACATTAGGAATATCAACGTTCTGTTCATGGGCCTGCCGCAATGTCTTTGCAAGCAATCCACATGTCGTGTTTTCGAGTGCTCGGAAAGAAAGGACTCGTCAAACCTCTGTGTTACTGTAAGCAAAGATATTGGAATTAATGACTGACTTGCAATGGTCACATGTTTATAAAGCAACTTTTGATTGTGTACACAAATGGATACAAAATAACTGAAACAAACTTTAGTTAGACCAGACAACATTACTTTCATAATTTATGAATTCTTTTACTATTTATTTTAAGCAATACGGATCTTCCTGTTTGAACATAGCCTGGTCGAAACAAACGCACGATGTTTCAAACAGTTCAAAAATCAGTAAAGTCTGAAGTCGGCACTGTTTTGACCCAATTTTGATGAGTGATTAGTCAAGCGATCATCCCGTGGTAGTGATACAGGAGAAAATCCCCCGTTAAAATTTATTTAATAAGTCGCTTACGCGACTTAACAATGTCTCGTCTTCTCCACTGTCTGCTTCCTGCCTGATCGCAGGTTAGTGCAATTACAGTCGAACCATCCGTAAGGCCACCAGCCAAAATGCGAAGATTTAGTGGGCCGCTTACGAAAGTCAAACCGCAATTGTCCCTTTGGAGAAGAGGTGACGAAACTGGCGATACACTTACTTTTTGGAAGAGAACTTATTGCATATAAAATAATGATATGTGTTTTTCTGTGTTGTCACTAATTCATGTAGTTCTTCGTATACTCCGAGCAGCGTAGAACATACAGTGAACTTAGAGATCTTACATTGTGTCTAGTGATCGCTTAAAGAGATTAAAAGAACGGGAAATTACGTAACCGCCACCCTAAATAGTGCTCGTTTACAAGGGGTTCTAACCATAAGGCTTCCTGTGCAAAAAGAGTTAGTGTTTCGGTAAGATGTGTCGCTTATGGGAGTTGGTAGACTGAGAGCAGTCTCTCTTTTCTCTTTTGAGTCACAGTATATCGAGAGCGCACTTGAGAGAGGATCCGGGGGGTACTCCCTATAATGGCCTGTACGGGGAGGCTCCGCCCGAAGGTTTCATGTATATGAAAGGGTAGGGATTTCACGAGCTGAGGTACATGTAAGGGTAAGGGAATCTGATATTCGTTGTGTAAAGGACTAAAAGGGCACTTAAAAGGGATGCCGCTATCTAAACAAGGTATGTGAAAGGGGGACCATTTTAAGGAGAAGGTATATGAAAGGGGTACCTTTTCTGTCAAAAATGGTATATAAAAGGACAAGGCATTAAAACTCTCTATGGAGCTTCCCCGTATAAAACGTAATTAGGTAGCCTCCCGTCCCCTCCCCCTCCGGAGATGGGAGAGGCGAAGGCGCTAGGAACGAGCCAAAATTAATTTGCATAATTTTACTTTTTCACTCGTCGCACGTGGCTCTTGGGAGTTCGCGCCAGATACATATATTTTCCCAGATATATATTTCATGTGCCTAGATACATATATTTTCCATTTTTTTTTAGAAAGGTAGACAGTTTGACATGCCAGCTAAATATACGGGAAGCCTAATTACGTCCCTTAACTCAAACGATAGTCCATCCTGTGGGGTCATTAACAGCTACTTACACTAAAAGGAAAAAGATTTACGATGAATTTTTTTCATCAATCTTGATTATCAGTTATGTCCTGTTGATCGGTGGGGGAGGGAATGGAGAATCCGCTTGGAAATACGTGTGGAACACGGATATAATTACAAGCATGCTATGGAGCTAGTTTAACTGCTGCAGTAGACTATTTAGGTAAAAAGCTGTCCGCGTTAAATTGGATATTTCTATGGTTTTGGTGGTAAGAAGGAAAGCCGACACTATTGAATTACCCACTTTCTTTGTTTTTATTGTATCTAATACCATACCATTTAATACAGGGTGTTATTTTATTCCCCTTTCACTCATATGACCATTCAGGAGCCCATAAGCTCCTGGCTATTGCAGTACCTCTTACTAGTTCTTATCTTAGATCATGGTGTTGAATAATGCCTAATACGCGTTAAGCTTCCTTAAAAAACAAAACTACCCTTAAACCTTGAGGACGACTTCCGTTATGATGACTTCCTATCGCACAAAGACTTTCCAAAAATCGCCAGGGGACACTCCCACGTTATAATCGTCGCATTCCCACCTGCCAGATGGTGTAAGAAGCCAGTGGTAAGCTGAAGCTGCAAAAGCAGTGTGGTCGTATAATCTGTTCTGATCTCTCTCGGCGCCCCATTTGCCAACTTTGAAAGAACCTCTTTGGTATCCCCAATCCTTGCAGACTCTTGCTAACCGCGAGTTATCATTGCTCATGATTACAAACGAGCCACAAGAGGCAGGCATTACATCTGTCTCACCACTGAGGTATTTCACAGCAGCTTCACCTGTACTGTTAGCAGCCGTGGTGATGTGAAATGTACGACCTCCTCTTTTTTTGCAGGTGAATCTTATCCGAGTGAAATGCAAGTGATTTCTCAGCTCCCTCATGGCGCTTTTTGTGAGTACCATCTCTTTGCTGCTTACTCCGCGATACGATGTCTTAACTGGCAACTGAGTGGGAGATGAACCGTGCGAAACAACGTTGGATACAAGAAGCCATCCCCCTGAAATTCGATAAATGTTTATCATTGGTTTATCAAGTCATGTGGGCCAAAACAAGCAGTAATGTTTAGTTCAAAATAATTCACACGGCGGAAACCCAGATGTAGCCTCCCATGGGCAGGAACGAGTGACGAACTCCTAAAAACCTGGGAGGCTAGCCGCTGTGAGCCTTATCAATGTTTTACAATATAACTCAGGCGAACTGTACAGTACCGCAACTGATCCCGCGCGACCGTAAATGAGCCTCAGACCGAAAATGATCCCCAAAATGGACCGCAAATGATCCCCATTGTCGACCGCAAATGATCCCGAGAGGAAAATCCGAGAATGGCCTGGACTTAAGTTACTGGTTCATCGTGTCACGTTTATTATCGCAACAAAACGAATTAATTCAACTGAATTAATTTAACAAATAAATGCCAAGACTGAAAAAGAAAGAAACCTTGAACATTACACAAATAAATGCAAACAAAAAAAGAACGTAAATGCAACCAGTAAAACAATAGCTCTGCCTAATTGCTGGTTAACATTAAAGCTTAACTGAACTAAACCTCACATTCTGTAGAACAATTAGATGCAATAAGAAAAAATTGCTCAAATCCGATCTTTCGGATACTTGGTATGAACTTTAGAAAATGATAACTTTTGTAACCGCGAAACTCTCTGAAAACGACCCCAGATAAAGCTCGCTCTAGAACACTGAACCCCATAAAGATAATTCTTTTCTCATGGGTACAAAATTTTCCACTTAATCGTTCCTTCGTTTCTCTTTCCCTAATGTTGTATCTTTGTAACTGTCTGTGTCTCCAGCAGTAAAGGCACGGAAAATGAATATACAGGTTTGCGCCGACAGGGTTCTTACCACTAGACGCAACATTTTCACGAGTTGTAGTTTCTAAGCGTATTTCGAAATAAACCAAAAACCTGTACAGAGTGATAAATACAGGGATCATATTCCGGGGTCATATTTCCCTATTCCTAGGCGTTAAAATGAAAGAAAAATTTCCTTCTTAACGTCCTTCCGGTCCTAAATCTTCACCGCAACGAAACATCAAATGCTTGAATAACGAAAGGAGAAAAAAATACCAAAAGAAACAGTTTTATTTATTCATTGTTCTACGCGATGTGCAAACTCTCAGCACATTCACCATCCATGCCTAAAACAGTATTCCAGTCCTCTACTTGTCACGGGATCACTTGCGGTCGACAATGGGGATCATTTACGGTCTACTTTGGGGATCGTTTGCGCTACTGTACAGAACTAGGAACTTGAGACTAAGAAATTCGTGACTCGCTAGGTGCGTGCTAGTCTGAAATTGATACTAAAAAGAGGCTTGGCGCAAAAAATGCATGTTATTATTCATTTAAACAACTTCTCCATCGTAACACTTGAAAGTTATAAGAAAAATTGATAAACTGATGGATTTCACGTGCCTGTTCCTCGGCAAATTCAGGATCCAAGGGGATGCTTTGTCTTGAAGATATTCTTCAAGTATGAGATGTAGTTTTGCTGTTTTTGCCATGTTTTTAGGTATTAGATCAAGGTAGGTATTGAGAATTTCCTGAACTTACTTTAGAAAAAATGGGTTTCCCCTAGCTTCAACTCAAACCATACCTGCGTCAGTTGTCATGTCACAATACGCCTTAAAAGGACTATTAGTCCTTCCAGGGTCAATCCAGTACTCCCTGTCGCCATTGGAGGTACCTAAGTCCTTGATTTCTTTGCAAGATTGAGCGGGATCGTAGGAAACGAGCCCGCGTGTCGCTACAACAAAATAGAAATCAACATTAGAGATCAACTGTGAAGAATGCGCCTGCAATCGTTTTCAAAGAGACTTAAAATAGTAATAATATACTTGTAATCTGCTTCCCGGATCTTGCTTTATTCATTCAGATGAGCAGTGATTCCTGTTGCTGGAATTCAACTTACAGTTGAGGCTACTAGGGAGGAAAATCATTAAAAATAAGAACAGATTCCCCGGCTTAAGCCTGTACTGTAGGCTAGTTCCAGTTCATAGCTAAGAATCCACGGCAAATGTATTTGCCTCAGTCTAATAAATTAAAAGCAGAGAATGCGATAATTGCGTGTTCTACTGAGATATTTACGTTTGCACTTCTTGCCATCTCCCTTGTAACCAGGTTTACAGGTGCAGGTGAAAGACCCTTCAGTGTTCTTACATAACGCATTTCTGTTACAGTTATGGATTTTGCTTGTACACTCGTCGATATCTAAATGAAAATCATAAAATTGCACTTATTTTACGTTTACAAGGCAAGTAAACGGATAATTCTTCCTTTACATTCTATTCTTTTAAATCTACGTTACAGATGAACGCGATGGCTTGTGTGGCTATGCTAGTGTTATAAAATTACCTGGACAATTTGTTCAAAAGCTGAATAACGCTTTCCGCTAGATAAATCACCATCCAGTAGATAGCGCAGTTAGTTTTACTAATACTTATCCACTGTGTAGTGATTTATCCGATGTAAAGCGCCATCCAACGTTTGAACAACTGGTGCCAGGGAGAATAAATACGAGCAATGGAATGAACCAATGTGTTGGATGAATAAACTATCGTTAGGTGATTAAGAACACCTAGGGTGGAGTTCCACTGCCGCGTAATATTTATGTGCGTAAAATGTACGCGTGTAATTCCCTTTTCGGCACTGACTCTCTTTCCAGGTCTGTTCACTGTGCCCCTGACGAGAATGACAGACCTTCTGAGCAGACTAAAATTTTTAAATTAACATCAGTCTGTGTTCCTGTCTATATTAGTGAGCCCAGTAAAACTTAATAACAGTTTAACATAGCTATTTATCAGTTTAGTTCTATTACCGTAGCTAAATGAGTATTTACCACTTTGTTAATGCTACGCAGTCTTATTAAAAAATAACTAACGTATTTGTGGCTATTTTTCCCGCAGCTACATGTAGTTTACGCTCAATGAACTAATGTGTGGTTATTGAACTACTGGTGTGGTTATTGATCTGTTGTGTACTTATTGAACTGCTGTGTGGTTTTTGAACTAACAAAGAGAAAAACCACGCGTAAATATCATAGAGGCAGTCAGGGCCCTGAAGGCAATGTATGAAAGGCCGCGTGTAAAAGATGAGGGAGGTTTAACTTTTACGTTTACACGTAACCTTTGATACATAGCCCTCATTTTATAAAGGTACATAAAACTAATGCACCTGCGCGCTTAAAAATTACGCGACGGTGGAAAGCCACCTTTAAAGAGCGCTAGATAGATACCTCTACACTTCTTCCCATCTCCCTTGTAACCGCGATTGCAGGTACATGTAAAAGACCCCTCAGTGTTCTTACATAACGCATTTTTGTCACAGTTATTGGTTTTGCTCTTACACTCGTCGATTTCTAAAAACAAAGACAAATTATAAAACATTGATTTCATCCGCCGAAAACAACAAGGCAATACCTTCCTTGACATTTCCCCCCGACTTTCCTCTATTCAGACATGTCAGACTGCTTGGGGCTTTTTTATTGCCTTCAGTCTGAATTGGGGCGACCTTGAGGTCTAAAAGTGAAATTTTCATCTTCGAGTTTTTTTCAAACCAAAACAAACTTTTACGTTATTACCAGTGGAGTTCTTAAAGTCAAAACAAATATATCCCCAAACGGAAGTTCGTAATTGTTTTGATTAAAGGAATGAAAATTCGTGTAAGCTCGTGTAAAAGGTTGTTACACACTGGAAATTAACAAGATCTGTTTCAGCCTTAGTGTCAATTCAGCCCTGCAGGCCGAAGTCTGATTCAGCCCTTCCTGGAGCCATTTGAACACAATGTAGGCCAAAAAAGCTCAATCAAAAGGCTATTCCAGCCCACGTTAGGGCTCATTTCAGCCCTGGGCCCAAATCAGCCCTAGCTAATTGGACTGTATTAGCCCTGATTTAAGGGCGCCAAATTAGACTCCAAAATAGGACTGTATTTTACTTACCGAAACGGCCGTATTTTTAGGGCTAAAACAGATCTGTCTGATTTAGAGTGCACACATTAGTGCAAGTATTCTTTTACTGCTCAAAATTCCGATTAAATACCCACTAGGGGCTTATCAGTAAGTTTTGACCACAAAAGATAAAGAAAATAACAACAGTTCTGTACATACACTATAAAGCATATTTATTTAGTCTGTAATTTAATAAATAAAATCAGAACAGAGGACAACTAAGTCGGTCAGTTTGCGAAGCAAAAGGGCAAAATATGGAAGATATTTAAAGCAAAGTTCAGTACTTACCAACGCATTTGCGGCCATTTCCAGAGTATCCAGCTTTGCAAGTACATTTGTATGAGCCCACGGTATTCTGGCAAGCAGCATTCACATTACATCTGTGATAGTTAGTTGTGCATTCGTCAATTTCTAAAAGAAATCACGGTTTTTCATTCACTCGCATGTTCTATAGTTGATGACTTTGCTAAGTGCTTATTTTCTGAAATGATATTCCCAACTTGAATTCATCATAAATCTCTTGAAAAGAAAAAGCGAAATTACTTTGAATTTTACCAAACACTGGACACAATGCTTCCATCTCACGTTATGACACCTTAACAACTGTCTAATAAGCTCGGTCGCGTGCCCATTTTCACCTTGACATAGTCGGTCAGGTTTCAAACATAAACTGAAACAAAGTTAATAAAAGTGGAATGGCTATGAAGCCCTACAAGCGTCTTTATTATACCAGTATGTTTTTTGTTAGAGGATTTTGGACTCAACCGACGGTGTGAAACGTTCGGTAATAGATCCATGATAACCGTTACGAATATAGAGATGTATTTAGCATAGTGGAACAAAGTTGATAACTTGGTGTAGTATGATAAGTTAATGTTTGGTGTAGTTAGTGTAGTTAGTGTAGTTGATGTAGTTGGTGTAGTTAGTGTTGTCGGTGTAGTTAGTGTAGTTGCTGTAGTTACTGTAGTTGGTGTAGTATGTGTAGTTGCTGTAGTAAGTGTGGTTGCTGTAGTTAGTGTAGTAGGTTGGTGTAGTTAGTGTAGTTGCTGTAGTTGGTGTAGTCGCCGTAGTTGGTGTAGTTAATGTAGTTGGTGTAGTATGTTTAGTTGCTGTAGTTACTATAGTTTGTGTAGTTACTGTAGTTGCTGTAGTTTGTGTCATTACTGTAGTTGCTGTAGTTACTGTAGTTCGTGTAGTATGCGTAGTTAGTGTAGTTAGTGTAGTTGGTGTAGTATGTGTACTTGCTGTAGTTAGTGTAGTTGCTGTAGTTGGTGTAGTTAGTGTAGTTGGTGTAGTATGTGTAGTTGCTGTGGTTACTATAAGTTGTGTAGTTACCGTAGTTGCTGTAGTTTGTGTAGTATGTGTAATTGGTGGAGTTGCCGCAGTTAGTGTAGTTGCTGTAGTCGGTGTGTAGTATGTGTAGCTGGTGTAGTTAGTGTAGGATGTGTAGTTGGTGTAGTTGCTGCAGTTAGTGTAGTTAGTATAGTTGGTGTAGTATGTGTAGTTGGTGTAGTATGTGTAGTTGGTGTAATTGCTGTGGTTACTATAGTTTGTACAGTATGTGTAGTTGCTGTAGTTACTATAGTTTGCGAGTTACTGTAGTTGCTGTAGTTGGTGTAGTACGTTGCTGTAGCTGCTGTAGTATGTGTAGTTGCTGTAGTTGGTGTAGTTAGTGTAGTTGCTGTAGTTACTGTAGTTGCTGAAGTTACTATAGTTTGTGTTGTTACTGTAGTTCGCGTAGTAGCTGTAGTTGCTGAAGTTACTGTAGTCGGTGTAGTTGCTGTAGGTGGTGTTGTTAGCATAGTTGCTGTAGTTGGTGTAGTTCCTGTAGTTCGTGTAGTTCGTGTAGTTGCTGTATTATGTGTAGTTATTGTGGTTGGTGTAGTTACTATAGTTTGGCGTAGTTGGTGTATTTTGGTGTAGGTTAGTGTATTTCTGGTGTAGTTTGTGTGGTTGCTGTAGTTTGGTGTAGTTGTTGCAGTTTTTGTGGTTATACAAGATTTATTCTAACAGATAATAACCAAAATTACGTAAATCCTAACTTACGTGAACACCAAAAAAAATGTTGTGTGTGTCATTGGCGCCTTCTCTGTTTAATATATATATATATTTTATGTTGAGGGTGTTGTTGTTGTTGTTTGTTTAATGAAATGATGTTGCTTTGTTAACTCGCTTATTTTGAAATATTATCATAATTGATTTACCTTCTTATAAAGCTTTCAACGGGTAAAGTTATTTTTAGATTTCTTTTGCATTATGTTGGGTAGATGATCGCAGCAATAAATCACCTCATCGGTATATTACCGTAAAGTTTCGGAAAGTAACGAGCCTCTCAAAGAAGCAACCCTCAGAAAGTTGCGTTAGATTTCAGAGGTGTTAACAAATCACCACCATTAATTTGCCACAGCAACTACAGTAACTACACCAAACTACACCAACTACACCAAACTACATCAACCTACACCAACTACACAAAACTACACCTACTACACCAAACTACACCAGCTAAACAAAACTAGACCTACTACACCAAACTACACCTACTACACCAAAGTACACCTACTACATCAAACTACACCAACTACACCAAACTACACCAACTACACCGAACTACACCAACTACACAAAACTACACCAAACTATACCAACTACACAAAACTACACCAAACTATACCAACTACACAAAACTACACCAAACTGCACCTACTACACAAAACTACACCAACTACAGCTACTACATCAACTACAGCAACTACACTAACTACACCAACTACAACTACTACACCAACTAAAGCTACTACAGCAACTACACATACTACACATGCTACAACTACTACACCAGCTCAGGAGCCCATAATCCGGAGCGTCTAACTTCCATACTGCGCCTATGCAACGGCGTTTTCACAAGTGGGTTTATTTTTAGATAAGCCTTTCCCGCGAATTGCTTTGGAAAAGCTAATCACAAGCAATTGCGTCAGCAATAATAAACTTTTAATACGTAACCAGGACAGCTCTTCACATTGAAAAAAAAAAGCATGGCAGAAACGCGTGAGGAGTGTTCAGAGGACTCTTCTGACAGTACTTCAAGCGACAATTTCAGTATTTTCACGGAAACTAGCAGTTCAGAGGAAGATCTGCAAAACGTAGAAGAGCCCAGGACGGCTACTTCATCGGCGACAACGCATAATTCACGCAAAGAAGAACGGAATTACATATAGAACGCAACGCATTCGCGATGGACCAAAATTAGTCACCATTTTTTTACCTTGATTGATGCGGACGTCAACGGCAACAGTCATTTTTCGCGGGAAAAGCTTATCTAAAAATAAACTCACTTGTAAAAAACGCCGTTACACGAATTTATGGCAGTTGAACGCTGCGGGTTATGGTTTCCTGACCAGCTACAGTAACTCCACCATCTACAGCAACCACACTAACTACAGCTACTACACCAACCACAGCAACTACACTAACTACACCAGGTACAGCAACTATGCTAACTACAGCAGCTACACATACTACACCAACTACAGCAACTACACTAACTACACCAGCTACACCAACTACACAAACTACGGCTATCACACGAACTACAGCAACTACACTAACTACACCAACTACAGCTACTACACCAACTACAGCAACTACACTAACTACACCAACTACACTAACTACACCAACTTCACTAACTACACCAACTACACCTACTACACCAACTACAGCAACTACACTAACTACACCAACTACACCAGCTACAGCAACTACGCTAACTACACCAACTACAGCAACTACAGCAACTACACTAACTACACCAACTTCAGTTACTACGCCAACTACAGCAACTACACTAACTACACCAACTAACGTAACAACACCAGCTACACATACTGCACCAACTACAGCAACTACAGCAACTACGGCTATCACACCAACTACACCAACTACACTAACTACACCAACCATAGCAACTACACTAACTACACCAGGTACAGCAACTACACTAACTACACCAGCTACAGCAACTACGCTAACTACACCAACTACAGCAACTACAGCAACTACACTAACTACACCAACTTCAGTTACTACGCCAACTATAGCAACTACACTAACTACACCAACTAACGTAACAACACCAGCTGCACATACTGCACCAACTACAGCAACTACAGCAACTACGGCTATCACACCAACTACACCAACTACACTAACTACACCAACTACAGCTACTACACCAACTGCACCAACTACACCAACTAATTAACTACACCGACTACAGCTAGTGCAGCAACTACAGCAACTACACTAACTACACCGACTACACTAACTACACCAACTTCACTAACTACACCAACTACACCTACTACACCAACTGCAGCAACTACACTAACTACACCAGCTACAGCAACTACGCTAACTACACCAACTACACAGACTACAGCAACTACGCTGACTACACCAACTACACTAACTACTCCAACTGCACCAAGGAATGTCTCTATATTCGCGACGGTTATCATGAATCCATTACCCAAATTGGTAATGACATTCTTATCATTTTGATCCTTTTCACCAATAAAAACCTAGCCTGTGTACAGGTGCCCCCTCCCCCTTTTTTGAGCATTCATTTATTGTGAAAAAAAGGAGATAGCTACCAACATAAACTGCAGCACCTTTGTTAAAATCTTAAGCTTTGATTCCGTTTCCTCTACTATGACTGAAAGATGATACTACATCCATGCGCGTTTACATTAGATGGCTTTTTTGATGTTTTGGTTACATTCCTGGCATTAAATATTGACGTGAGCCACAACCCCCGAGATTACCTCAGGTGCCAACTAACAGATCATTTAATGTAAGTTGTAAAACGGACCTGGTGACCGCTTTTACCTTGAACACAAGTATAGTTATAGCAGTTATCGCAGGACACATCGTTCCAAGTGTAGCCATTATTGGCACCCAGAGTGTGAACACAGTCTTCGTTTTTCCAGTTGTTTGGTTGTTGCGGAGCCCAGAACCGAAAACTGGTTATTTCCTTGTTTGTCCAGACAAATGATCCCTCAAAGCTTCGGTCATTAAGTCCAACCCATGATCGCTCTCCATTATGACGGTGCTGAATGTAGACATTTTCTTCTTGGTTGTGCACTGTTACCAGATATGAGTTCATTGCTGAACAGTTGGACACAGCAGTCACCCAAGGAGCGCATACGGAGCTTGTTAAATAGCAGTATCCATTGAAGTAATCCCATCCAGATGGACAGATGTCTGCGCGTATACAAAGTAGGAATTAGTGAACTGCAAAATGACATTGCTTAAAATGTATAGCTTTAGGTGCAGTTATGTGCTTCGAACATTTTTGTTATTTCCGTTTTTTTTTTGGCAATAAAAAAAAGGAAATGGAAAAGCAGAAGCTTTTTTTCACGGCAAAAAAAGGCAATACATAAGACAAAAATAACTGCAAGTATTATAAAGCACTCCATTATACACATTAATATGTATTTGGAAAAGGGGATGAACGTTGTTTTTCATCATCACCCGAATGCAATTTTTATTATATTTCCTCCAGTTTTTGTGTATTCCTTTTGTGTATTGCTTGTATTCCTTTTTTTTTATTCAGAGAGTTGTAAGTACTGAAGTTTATTAGTTTTGTAGCAGTAGAGCTCTTACCTGACAAAACTGTGTACGTTACTGACAATGGGTCATATTTTGCTTCATATAATTCTTTGACACAAGCACGAAAGCCTGTCTTGTTGATGTACTGCAAGAAAGGGATGTTTATCAGGTCATTAAGTGGTTCACACAGACGGCGGACGGCGTTTTTTCTCCCTTGCTAGTAGAAAAAAAAAACTATAGAACAGTTCAGGTAGGTCTTGACTAGAAGACATGTTAAGAAGTGATCAACCCTGTTCAACAAGTTTGCATGACAGGGCTTCAAAGGGAAGGGGAAAGCGGACAATGGAGTGCGCGTTATTACATGTCAACAACTTAAACCTCTCATGCGATAATTGCTATAGCTGCTGTCAAACTTCAAATGTTTGCCGGCAAAATATGTCGCGTTCACGGGAAAGTAGACCGCGCGGGTCAAGGAAACAGCAGATAAAAATAACCTTCATCACACGCGTGCGTACTTTCAATAGATTTCAAATAATCATCATGGGTCACAGGAATTCGCTCTCTTAGCTCATTGTCTCTTGCTTAACATCAATTTTAGTTTTCTCATTGCTTTTTGTTTGACAACATTTGCTTACCTTCTGCTATACAGCTACACAGCTTCTTTTTAAACATAGTTTAACGACTTTCCATAATTCATGGCCATTTTACTAACCAAGGGTTATGCCAGATCGTTAGTTAAACGGATAAAATTTAACTTTTGTGCTGTTTTTCGCACGTTTTGTATTCTATAAGCTGTTATTCTCAATAGAACGCTATCTGTATTGTAAAATAGAGAGTGTTAATTACAGTCATTCGTATTTTCATAAGGTTTTTAAACATGTACACAACACATGAAAGTGTGGTTGCAAGCAGTATGTTACAGAAATTCATAAAATAAATGAAAAAGAAAATAATTAAATTAAAAATTAAAAACATACCTCTACCCACTCAGCTATGCTGTTATGAATTGGACTCTGACTTCCATTTTTGGTGGAATGATTGGCAGAAACAAACACATGTGGAGTTGAGTTATAAACTTTAGTAAAATTACCGTCCTGTGAAAAGAAATTACATAATTGTAAAACTTCAGTCTCTGACATTTATAAAAAGGTAAAGACTTGTTCCACATTAGGGCATTTATAATCTACATTTCATTTTCATTTTAAATGTTTAGTGAAATATGACAGGCAGCCTGATAAACTGATTAAATGCAACTACCATCACTAGAGACATGATAGGGGAACCGTTTTCTTTTGCTCTCTGATTGTAAATTTATTCAATAAAATTAACTGCACTGTGACGGGAACTGAAACCCAAAAGACTAATGAAAGGACTGGAATACTGACCTTGCAGAAGGCATTATAATGACTCTGAGCGGGAGGTTTATCATTCGAAAAGTAAATCGAATTGTGTTCTGAGAAGGGAGGCTCGTCAAGATATGAAAACGCTAACCAATTCTGAAATAAAGTAAATCAATCAATCAATCAATAAATAAATAACAATGAAAAGAAAGAATTCTTTTTCAGTCTCACGTCCCAACTGCAAAAAGATTGTGTCAACGCCGAAAATAAAATGGTAATCTCTCAACAAGGTTTATATAAAACAGCCACAGAAATCTTAGGTTACAAGAAAGCAATAACATGGTTGGGTTGACAAAGCCGGATGAAGAGGAAACAAATGGAGGGAAATATATTTTCAAGCAAAAAATCGTGCATCTCTGCGGGACCAACTGCTTGAAGCGTAAAAAAGCGAAAAGATGAGATGGAGAAAGATACCAGTATGCCGCACTAAGTTTCCAACGAAAAACGCTGTTCGTTCGATTCCATGAGATTAGCGTTACTTACAACAACAACGTCTTGGTGTGATCCAGCGTAGTTTTGCAATTCTCTCAAGCAAACTTTGCAGGATGATTGTGTGACATCTTCAATCCATACGCTTGCTGCGTCACGTTTTAATCCTGGATTGTAATGTTTGGCAGTCACAAATACCGACGGTATCACAGAGAATTTTCCCTGAAAAATAAATCCGAGTTAGGCAACTCTTAACTCTTAGAAAGCCACGGACAGGAATCAATTTCGTATTTTTGCAAAAAGGAACCCATGACATTTGTGATATGCTGGAAATTGGTAAAAGAATAATTTTTAATACCATGACATTGTTCGATCTAATGGTCCTAAGTGTAAAGCTACACCAAAACGACAAATCATTACTGATGCATATTAAAAACCATATGTTATTAACTGAGTGACCTCAGTGGAAATGAGGCGTTTCAAAAGATATGATCTTGAACAGAATGTAAAGGACAAGAAAACCCAACAACGGCCACTCACTGTAGGAAACATGACAGTCGCACAAGTCGTACCAGTCCACCACTGTGACATGCGCACTTCACCAGTCACGCCACCCACTGGAGCACCTTGGTACGCCATCCAATCAACTGTCACGTTAGCATACGACTTTCGTTCGTTATATCCTGCAGCCATCACACAGGCAGTGAATCCGTCGTTATTCACATTTTCAACCCACGATACTGCCGCGTCATGGACATACGATTTGTCACTGGTATCCATATGATTGATAGTTATCTGCACTTGAATGGGTTTGTCAGGGTAAAACACAAACGATTTGAAATGAATGGCATGACAGTGAGAGTAGCCCAAGGATGGAATATGTGGCATGTGGCGACGACCACGCTGGAAAGGATATCCTAGAAAAAACATTTCAAGATGAACTATAGATTAGTATCACAAGCATGCAGGGCAAAGGGCACTTACCCAGAACTTAAAAATGTTAACAAAGCAGCAAATGAGTGGTTCTTAGAAAGAGCTTGTTACTCTCTACCATAGAAGTCCTGGGGGAAGTTCACAGCGGACAATGTGTCGCTTGGCACTGAATTAGGTCAATAGCATAGCAAGCAGTCATGGAGAGATTAGAACTTGCATCTTGAGCAAAGCTACATGGTGCAAATGGTCAAGCCTATTAGCACTAAAGGAAAGGAAAGTGAACATCCACTGTAACTACTACTTCTCGCTGAGAAAAGATTCAGTTCCAGTTATGCTTAAAAAAATATAACTCTAGGGAAGGTTATCCAGATATGTTAGGCAGAGCTACGTCCCAGTACGAACTGCAAACGACGACGACGACGACGACGACGACGACGACGACGACGACTTTTTTGACCAGTATTCTTATTAGCATTGCTCCTGTCAAACGTTTTAGCAAAATTACGTAAAATTCTGTACTTACGTAAAGTCACGCATCTATCGCCGTTTTCCCCTCTAGATTACATGGGTAAGTAAATAGCTCATTCAAAACATTCGCTACGCGATTAATACTGAAATCTAGTAAAAACAAATATCACTTTTTAGCAGATTCAAAAACAACTGTACTAACCTTCACAGCTGCCAGGATGTTGCACGGTTAAGTTTAGTCGATGTAGACAAACTTCACTTTCAAACAAACATCTGTTATCGTATGTTGTGCCATTTGATGAGCAAACGGGTTCTTTGTAAGATGGGCAGCTATCCACACATACACAGCGTGCATCATGGGATCCAAACGCCTTACAAAAGCTGTGAAAATGACACGTAACGTCTATGCAGGGATCCAAGTCTGAAGATAAATTAAGCAAATAACAACAGATTAGATTTAAAGTGCCCATACCTTAAAAATTATTTTTTTGGAATTGAAAATGCACATTACTATGAGAACGTGAGCGAAAAAAAAAGTGCTTTGAACACAATGTTATTAAAGAGAATTTTTTTGAGTGTAAGTCTTCACTCGGATGCCTCTCGGAAACAAAGGAGCCCTGACGTATATTAAGAAACTATAACGTAAATTAAAGAACACGTGACCTTAGATACAAGAAAACAACTGTGTATTTTACAAAAATTTCGTCCAATTTACAAGCTGAAACAGATTTAAGATGCTAATAAGGTGCATTACAGTTAAATGCAAGAACACTGGCGATTCTAAGAAAAGGACAAGAATGCATATGATCCCGTTTTTCAGTTCCTGCATTTTTGTCTTATGACATCACATATGAGCCTGTTAATTTCGTGATCAGGAGAACCAGTGTGCCAAAGAAATTTAGACTTTAAAATTTTCTAAAAACCCTCATTTTCTTGAATACGCAAAAGTGTTGGGACGAAGTTATTGTAGTAACGTGTTCTTTCAGTCAACCAAATCTACAATCCCCCAAAAAAGAGACAACAAAAAATAGCATTAATTAGAGAAATAAAGCTCTTCATGAAACGACTTCAAAAGATTCATGTCATAAAATGTACTTGATACATTGCAGCATACAGCCTTCACCAAGGTTTTGATAAATTGTTTACGTACCTCCAATCACCAGGTAATCCAGTTGTACGATGTCCTTATAATTGGCGTTATTGCTGTATCTTCTCATACACACCTCGGTTTCGTTTGTAAAGGTATGCTAGACACAATCAAAAGAAGTATCAGATTATCAATCATTAAGCATCATCAGGTATTTTCTTACCTCAGCTACTATGTCACTAGGTACACCAAGGTCGTTTAGAAAGCGAAACCGTGGCGTGCACAGGTTGGTTGGAAAAATTGGAAAAAAACAAAACAAAAAAAACTTTTTTGGACTCCTTAAACGACATGAAAAATTAAAACAGAGACAATGCTAAAAGTAAGTTCGAAGGGAAAAGATAAGAAGGCAGCCTAAGGACGCAATGGACTAAGAAAAATGGCTCCAAGTTTCATATATGTTACCTGAATCCACGCAGTAACTACGTTACAAGTTCCGGAAGCCGAGAAACGGGAGTTGTTGTTATGGTAACTGAGTCTTGGTGAAACTATTACTACCGGAGGAACATAGAAAGCATCAGTAAACTTTATTATCTAAAAAAACAAGAAAAGAATTAGCGTTATTAAGTTTTTCTACACATATGCGGTATATGATATATGTTGTTTAAATAGTTGACGATAACAACAGTAGAGCTCCATCAACTTATGAAAGATTTTCTATTTATGAATATAAGTGACTAAGAAACCAAAACAGTATAGTTCATTAGTTACTTTACCTGACAGACAGCGTTGTTTTGTTGCTTGTTTAGTGGTGAGTTATTCTTTGTTGTTACAAGGCCGTGGATCAAGGTAGAATTTAGCGTCATCAGCTTAACAAATGCTATCCAGTCCTGAAGGACGAGTGAAAAAGTATTAACAATGTTATCAATATATTCTTTCTCAAGTCAAGGTTGTTTCTAAGAGAAGGGAGCCCATTTCTCTGAACCTGTGTAAATTACAGGGTACCCAACATAGGATCTCTATGAAAAAAGCTACGATTTCCTAGTAGGCAAAGAGCAAAGGTAGAGCTCTGAGGCAACTGGGTTCTGCTAGAGCACAGCCCCTGTAAGTTGCAGCAAGGGAGGAACCGCTTGGTCGTCGTGTGAGTCTACTTTTAAACATGTAACAGGTAACAAAAGGAATTCACTTACCACCTTGATGGTTTTATGCAGACCATCAAAAATCTTAGTTTCCCTGAGGCAAACCTTAAAACTGTCTCTGCGTACATCCTCTACCCACAATGCCAAGGCGTCCTGAGGTCTCTTGAGAATTTGGTGACGAGCTGTTACGTAGATGCTCGGAGTAATTGAGAAACGCTCAAAAAGTAATAGAGAAGAAAATAAATAATCAATTACATTTCTTTTTCAAACAAGGGTATTTTGAACTTGAAAGAAGCAAATTGGATGGAATTTCCTAGTGCAGATAAAAAACTAAGAACAGTTTTACGAATAAAACACAGAATTTGCAAATCAGCAAATAAAACGATAATCATGAACTTGGCAACGTAGACACAAAAGGAATCGGAATATAGACTTTCTCACTAATTTTTTAGAGCAAAAATTAGCAAAAATATGAAGATTGTTAAACCTTTTTAAAGATGTATTAATGTAAATAAAAATATTGAAATGATAAGAAAAGTGGAGGACAGATTGCAAGATAACTTTGATGGAAGAAATAGAGGTAGCAATATATGTAAGATCTTGGTAAACGAATAAAGAATCGTATTTTATAATGCAACAATGTTATATCGCATGACTTTAAGATATAAAGAAGAAGTCAACTGGAAAGTCTGCAGCTCCTACGAGCTAAATAAAGAAAGAGGAAGTTAAAGCCACTTAGTTAAGCAAAGCTCAAAAAATAACGTAGTGAAATCTTGTGTCTAGGTTTGAGCAAACAGAAATACTTAAATCAGTAAGAACTATTGACTCAACGAAAATGCAGGGGGAAACAGAGGTAACCTTTTCAAAGGCGATCCTTTTACACTTTTCTCCAGTGGTCCAAGAATCCAACGAGACGGTGTCTAGTTGAGCGCCAACAGGAACAGATTGCAGCGCCATCCAGTTCACTTTCGTAGTCCCACTAGAACCATCTCCGTACTCTAAAACACAAACTGTAAATTCTTTATTATCCACAGATTCCACCCAAATAGCCGCGCCATCTCCACCACTATAACTGTTTGTTGCGTGGTTTTTGGAAACGAAAACGTTCACATCCTGCCCGCCATTGAAAGGATTCTCAAAGGAAACCTTTTCACACGCAAACAGACCAGGCGTAGTAATGGTGAAATTGCGTTTTCCAGTTTTGATACTCAGCGCTGGGAAATAAAAAAAAGTAAAAATAATAAAAATAACTTGCAAAAACGAAATACAGGGATGAATATTCTCTTTTATACCTTCAACGTCTTGGTAAGTAGGTGCAGCTATGAAAAATACAGCCAACAACAACTGCACACGGACTTCTTGCTCGGTAAACATCTTGCTTCAAATGAAGGAAAATGCACTCTGTTGAACATTATACCCCTTAGCAATACGTGGCAATATAGTCCAACTTGTTTTTACGCGTTTAGTAGATCTCATTTGCTTTGTTTGTGGGGGTAGGGGGTAAAGATCTTTGAGATAGTTAATTATAAGATTTATGCGGAAACTCAGAAGGGTAGGCACGTAGGTCCAATCACCGCACTGTCACCACTACCATGATGGCGATGTATTGAAAATGTCGGAGAAGAGGTTCTTCTTTTCTTCTGTTTCCTTTAGGTCCTAAAATTATTTTTCCTCAAAAGATAATTTTAGGACTTAAAATTTTAACTGTGAAACGCTTCAAGTTGATCTGTCAGGATATTTTATACTATAATAAAGGCAAAAAACACAACAACCCACTGAGGAATGCTGGAATTTGTGTGAACCTAAAACACTTATAATCTTGAATAAGAAATAAAGCAAACTAAGATTATATTATTTGTTTTATGTGGCCCAAAATTTCACGGACAGTCGTCAGGTTAGGTCTCTGCCACGAAATTGACAGCCGACTTCATCTTTTCCATGATCCAAGCTTTACTGAATTATTTTGAACCCGATTATTATTATTATTGAATTATTTTATTCACCCCCGCCACAAAAAATGTTAATATTTTGACTTAAAGATAAACTAGGGTGAATCTCTACCACAGAAAACTGTAGGTTTTTTTGTTTCCTTTCCTATGTTATACCTAGATGATTAAGTCAGGCCCATTCCATTGAAACAAGCGGGCAGGAAGGTTCCATCTTACCCCGGTGAGGTGTAGCTTGTTACATACAGCGAAGGATTTACTTCACCACGGCCAGTTTACAGAGCAAGCAATGAAGCAAGAGATATTCATTGAAAACATTTGCTATTTAGTTATGTGGCATTAACAAGTTGTTCAAATTTGCATTTCAATTTTCAGTTTATCGAGTCCGCACACCTTTTTTTGTTCCCTTGTATGTATATTTAGGTTACTTATAACTTCTGAATATTTGCCTAAAATTAAAATTTTCATGGCTTTTATTAGAAGCAACGTTTTCGTCGAGAAATTAACCAAAGTATTAAAAGACAAACACTTTCCTCTTACTTTCGAATGCTTGATATTCATACGCTGAATTTCATTTACCCAATTCAGACCAAGACAATTATACTGAGATCCGAAAATTGTAATCAGGATACTTGATTAAAATTTAGTTCGCATAAGACCACACAACGATCGTTAGAATTCTGCTTAGCCAGCGTGTTATACTCCTTGACGCTGCAAAAAAGAAAGAAATTTCAAGGACTCGGTACGGTATGGCCTCTAGTCGTATTTGAGCCTTGAGAGTAAAAACCTTTATTGTTTAGACTCAGAGTGGTCCTCTTAATTGTCCAACCTTGACTTAATTTAATGTTTCGCTATAAGGTTTGTGCTTCAAGGGAATTATCCTCTTTCGCCGTATTTCTCCTTTATAGCGACCTCAACATAGGTTTGTTACACCATGATGTTATCATATGAAGACGAACGACTTCCGCGAGACAAAGGTAAATAACTATTTTCTCGTTCCAACGCGTTGTCTATTTCATAAACCATCAAAGGGTCCAATGATTTTGTTAATTTCTTTTTTAAAAAGGGGGAAATATTGATACAGATAACCATGGGCTACAAAAGGTACGTTCAAATTCTTAGATTTATTCTTTTCAGTGGTAAATCCAAGGTTTACGGGAGTTAATTTTCCCCTTTTTACAGATGTTTATTTTGCATAAGGAAAACATGACAAAATATGTAAGAATCGCTGCCTAAACATTCGTTAAATTTCTGTTAAAAGATAATGTGTAATCTAATTTCCGTTCCGTTTTTCTATTGCAAAATTATTATGACTTAAACTTTTACTTTTAGGCTAAAAGGGAAAAAAAATTATTATTGCAGATAAGTGACAATTACACGATCTATTTATATTATACAGGACATTTGGCTAGACCGTGGATATAATTTACTACCGGTATGAAAAGTAAAAATATGAAAAAAAAAACACTGCAAAAAAACCTTCTTGATCTATGAGCGCCCTTAAATTAGGTATAAATGTCGTTCATTTCTATCGTCAATACAACTAATATAAGCACTGAAAACCACAGTAAGACGGTTGGTTGTCCCTCGAGACACCACTCACCTCATGATTACTTCCTGATTTCTCTGTTTTGAACTTTGTAACAAAACGAAGAATAAGCTTCGTCTAAACATTGTCGGACAGGCTGATAGCCTGAAAATTTAACTTAAACTTTCTTTGGTCAGAACCAATTTTTGAACGTAGTGTAGTCATTTGAACACGCAGTGAAGCGTATACAAAACGTCACGGTGAACTAAGCCTGTAATATGGAAATCAAACATTGTTTAGTCACGAAAAAAAAATACAAATTTTGGATATTTTCACTATGTAAATTCAACTTGCCATTTGCTCATCGGTTTTTTCCCCCTCCAAATAAATGTCAGTCTAGATTCCACAACGTTTTGAGTCATTATGACTCCAGTAAAAAAATTGAAATTCTTTAGTGTTGCAAGCATAAGTTAACAAAATGCAAAAAAAAGCTATAGAAAGGATATTTTTTACAATAACTAATAAATTATATCTCGCACGCTGATTGGCCAATTTTAATCATCATTAAGAGGGGAAACAAATAAAATTTTGATTAATGCAAGACGTGGTCATTTGCCGAACGAATGCCGGCAAAGGCCATTTGCACTAAGAGGTCATGGGACATCGTTTTTGAAAAAGAAGGTCATGTGATTTTGTCGTCGGAAAACTATTAGTGGGTCATATCTTAAACAAAATAATAGTGCTTTGATTTTTCAAACCCCGCACTATTTTCTTAAAATGAGTAAGTTCGTAGCTGGTCACTTGACCAAAATTTGATTCTTAAAATTATGAATTACCTCTTTCTGAACACCAATTTGGCACTTAAACTTCCGGGAAAATGTTGAAAAGATGATGTGGTAACGTTTACAGCACATCTGAGCGTAACTATCAAGCGTTTAACAAGATATAAGCAAAAAGTAGTTTTGGCTGCCATGTTAGAGGGCAAGAGTATGCCCTCCAACATGGCGTCCAATACAGATCATTAGATACTACTTTGTTGAAAAACTGCCATAAAATATCGCCCTTAAATGCGTTACCTCTGAATTTCAGGTGTAAGATAATTTTTATGTGCTCTCTCAATTTTTGGCATCAGCAAGATTCCAACTCATTGATTAAAAGAAGCATTGGTCACGTGACCTCCAAGGGACTGTGCAATAATTATCAGGAGGGGGGGCTGAAAAACTAGAGTTACCTAGCAAAAACTTAGACAGTACCCCCCCTCCGAAACAAAAAAATTAGTTCTAACTCCCCCTCTGTTATGTTAAAAATAACGTCCCTTCCCCCCCACCACACTGGTAAACTCAAAACTGGACTGAGCTGCCATCAAAGCTTCAATAATGACAAACGTTATTATGTAACATCTAGTATCGAGAAGGATGTTGATCGCTTGATTGAAGATTTAGACAAAGCATTTGCTAAGTACCGGGGTGCTTACCACATTGGCTCAAAATCTAAAACTTCTGAAGCCATAAAGAGAAAGGAGCAGAGAAGAAAATCAAAGAACAGGAGATTGAACGCTTCAAATAATAGACGAAAAAGAGCTTGCATTATATTTAGATCCTTGGGAGGAGAGCCTGTTGAACTTTGTTATGAGCCACATATATATGGAATTCAGCAAATCGATTCAGTCGATGAAGAAACATTACTTTTATTCACATCAAAAACCAACAAAGCTTGTCTACGAGATCTGTTTGATTCCCATTGTTTTATGGGGGAAGCTGAAAAACAAGTTCATGATTTTTGCTTTACGTAGATCCGCTCAATTAATTAAAAGACGGGTTAAAATTGATCAGTTGCGAATTTGCTTTTTATTTTGATGGAATATTTTCAATAATCGTTTAACAGTTGTTCGTGTTGATATTTGTTACAGTCTATCATGATGCCTGTATTGAGAATCTTTTATTGCGTTTAATTTTATTTACATTTCGAATAAAACTTAAGGCCCCCCCTCCGTCAAATGGGTGATTTTACTTTGAGCCCCCCCTATCTTGGCAGCAATTTTATGTAATGCCCCCCCTCTAGTTTTTCAGCCCTCCCCCCCCGCCCTCCTGATAATTATTGCACAGTCCCTAAGTGCAAGTTGCGTATTGTACAGTTTCAAATCTGCGATTTAGATAAGCTTTTAATGTTCGTAGATAGCTTGAAAGTTAAAAGTAAGAAAACAATTCTGAAAGTCCACTAGTGTATTAAAAATAAGCACATTTATAACGGTAGTTTTCCTTTTGACAAGTACTGAGTGTTTTTCTGATCCTTTTTTCGGAAAGCAAAAGAAACTTTTTGTACAAACTTTATGAAACTTTGTAAGTACCTGGTAAGTTGAATTTAAAACTTCATGACTATAATACCCACCTTTCGGTTTGATTGTACATAGCTCATATAGCTGTATGGCATTGAGGACGACAAGCAAGTCGAGAACTGAAGTAAACAACCGGCCGTACACGATTTCTGTTTGTACTGATCGGTTAACCACTCTTCTCAACTGCCAGGCTAGTTTGATCTACAGATAGTTTAACCGTACATTGCTTCGACTTGTTCGTTTACTATAGCGGCTCCAAAATCTTTCCTTGGAATAATATTTAACCTTAGCCTGCGCTAGTAGTTTACGACTTTATACGGCCTAAAATGCCCCCGTTTTTCTAGGCAATAAACATCGCTGATCTCATTCTTGTTTGAAGTTTGCAAAACAAATTTATGCAGGGCAGTGACGTGACTCAACCTGTCAAATTTTTAGCCAATAAAACTCCGTTAGTCGTTATCAGTAGCCAATCACCAAGCGAGAAAAGTTATTGACAATAACATTGCGCTAGTTTAAAAAAGTCAAATTTTCTTGTGTTGTCTTCATTTTTACCGGTAATATTTGA